CCGTGCTCCGAGGCGCTGGCCGGCAGCCCCGGCGGCGGGGGGGATCACCCCAAGGGCAGCGGAGGCAGCGGCGGCTCCCAGGGCTCGCTGGCCTGCAGCGCCAGCGATCAGATGCGCCGCTACCGCACCGCCTTCACCCGCGAGCAGATCGCCCGGCTGGAGAAGGAGTTTTACCGGGAGAATTACGTGTCCAGGCCCCGGAGATGTGAGCTGGCGGCTGCTCTAAATCTGCCAGAAACCACCATCAAGGTACACGCAGCTCGGACATGTTTTCAATTAGCACGATATAAATCGGTATGGCCAAACTTCCTTGCAAAACTCGGGAAAGCACTTTGCCAGCATAACCCTCCCTCTCGGCTCCCCCCGCCTCCCGCCCCTTTCCTGGCCCTGCCCGCACCCTGCAGCAATGCGGGACACGGGACACGGCTCCCGGAGTCATCCCGGCCAGCGCCGCTAATCTGCCCTCTCCATAGCGGATTATTTTTAATCCTCCCTTCGGTTCAGTTCAGATCTGGCTCGGCTCTTGGGGGAGGGAAGAGGAAACCAGTAGCAGATCTTGTTTCGATCTCGCTATGCTTTGCCTTTTCCAAAACATTTGCACATGAAAATAAACCCGGTAGCAGCAGTCCCAGGTAGTTGAGGATGCGGAAGGGCAGCAATGAGGCAGAGCTGTCCGGCTGGCCGGGACCCAGGGATGGGGGCAGGGGGGCAGCAGGACAAGCCCTAACAAGCAAAAAGGAAAACAAGCGCCCCAAAAGGGCCGCTCCTCTGGGCTTCCCTATAGATTTTTATAGGGGCTTAACTGATCCCTCTGTACGTGATGACAACTCCCTCTAGGAGGGAAAGCTGGCGCCGGTCTCCGCTCCCCGGCAGACCCACGTCCGCCGCACCGCCCCGGGAGCAGGGCCGGGGCCAGGCGGGGCGGCGGCGGATGACGGCTCTCGCCTCTCCTCTGTCCGCAGGTTTGGTTCCAGAACCGCAGGATGAAGGACAAGCGGCAGCGCCTGGCCATGACCTGGCCTCACCCGGCCGACCCGGCGTTTTATACGTACATGATGAGCCACGCGGCAGCCACCGGGAACCTGCCGTATCCATTCCCGTCCCACCTGCCCCTGCCCTACTACTCGCACATGGGCATCGGCGCCACATCGGCCTCTGCCGCCACCCCCTTCAGTACTCCCCTGAGGCCTCTGGACACCTTCAGGGTCCTCTCCCACCCGTACCCGAGACCAGAACTGCTGTGCGCCTTCAGACATCCCTCTCTGTACCCTGCCCCAACTCATGGACTCAGCGGCGCCGGGGGCAACCCCTGCTCCTGCCTGGCATGCCACAGCGGCCAGTCCAACGGGCTGGCGCAGAGACCCTCCGGATCAGACTTTACCTGTTCGGCCACAACCAGGACTGACTCCTTTCTCACTTTCACGCCCTCTGTGCTGAGCAAAGCCACCTCAGTTTCCATGGACCAGAGAGAAGAAGTACCTTTGACGAGATAAACCTTTGTCTCAGGGTTATTAAACACTCATCCCTTTCCCGGACTTCTCTTCGAGTTAATGTACCTACAGCCCATGTTTATTTAATGGTGTTCTCTCCTCAGCCGTGGACGACCACAGAAAAAAAAAAGGAAAAAAAAAAAAGAAAAAAGGAAAAAAAAAAAGAAGAAAAAAGACTAAAAATAGCTCAGTCTTAAAAGGATTTACATTCCAAGGGGGAAAAATAAAAGAAAGAGGAAAGAAAGAAATTACTAGTGATTTATCTCTGAGAAGGAATTAAGGCACGAAGGAAGAAGAAAATCAACTCAAATGAAATATGCTCCAGCTAGTCACCTATAGAAATGTGCTGGGACTTTCTTTTCCGTGGAGAGACTTCTTCCCAAGGGCTGGGGCTTCTGCGGATCACAACAAACCTTATGCACAAACCTATGAGACAGAGAATCTGAAATACTTGAAAGAAACACTGTCTTGATAACGAAATGGCTTGTGCGCATGAAGAAAGCAAAGATGCAATCCCTCAGTGTTCAGAAAATAAAAACAACAGGCAAACAGCAAAAAAAACCCCAACAAAACCAAAAGGTTTCCGGTTTGCAACTCGGCAGTATTATCCAGTTGTCTCTATGGAAAATAATAATGCTTTACCATAAAGAAAACCTGTCATTCTGTACATTACTTTCGTGGTTTAATTGCATTCTTTACCCTCCCTTGTCTCGTCCTTCGTTGTGAGCAGAAATCCAGCATTTTATTTCCTCTTTCATTCCAACTTTTATTTTTAAGAGGCAGACTGGAACTGGCAGGGGAAAAATACGAGCTCCTGCCTCTTTATGGGTCAGAGCTATTTGTCCTTTAAATAACAGTGTCCTATTATCAGTCGCTGAAATGTGCACACACTGACGAAATTAGCAAGTGATGTATATGTAAAGAGGGTTTTTGAATATCGAATGTACAATGCTCTGTGAGCAAAGACCCCGTGCCAAACGCTAACAAGCCGCCAAGGGAAGAGATTAGAGGTGACAGGGAGCACAACTCCTTCAGACAATCACCAGTCTGTAAATTGGAGCAAAGGCGATTTCCCTTCCTTTGTACTTCAGCCTTCAGTTCTCTCATTGCCTTTCCCTTGCTGTGTCTTCTTTTTATTATTTTTTAATTTTATTTTTAAGTAATTATTTTATTTGTTGGGCTTGGTGTTCCTTTCTCCATCTCTAATATTTTCATTTGTGTGTGTCCTTCACACTGATCACCCTTCCTTCTTGAGGAGTATTTCTTTCACAAACTCACCCACCCGTCTCCTATCCAGAAGGTATTTCGGAAGAAGGTAGCATCATTGTTTTCGCTTGGATTTCTGTAACCTTAAATTTAAAAACCACGGGCACGGAGCTGGGTAGTGGTTTCTTCCAAAACCGACATTATTTATTTCATTCTATTTTAAAATAGCCCTAAAAATACACCGCCATAATTTGCTACCATGTCGGGATAAAACTTAATAGCACCAAAAATAACACCAGATAATAACGACACGTTTTAAACACCTCTCACCCGTATTTTTATCGCGCTTATTAAGGAAAAAAAAAAAAAAAAAAAAAAAAAAAAAAAAAAAAAAAAGAAAAGAAAAAAAGCTTTAAGTGTTGCTTAAGACGAATTTCACCGTGCAGTTTCTAACAGTTACAGTTCAACAAGCAGGAAAATAAATGCTGGACAGAACAAAGACGTGTTGACACCTCTGTATCTACTTAGTACTAAATTGCTCAGAAGCCTCTGGTTTATTGCCACACCGGAGACTTTTTGTCTTTAGCAGAGGGAGTGCATTGCAGCGTTTCCCTATAGCGGATGGAGAGCAGGGAAGAGACATGGGAGTGCCAGGATGTATTTTTTCCAATAAAAAGTATTGATTATTACAGCTTTAAAAAACCTGATCTAAAGCCACAATCTTTAAATCATTAAAGATTATAATCAGATTATTCCAATTATAATCAGATTATTCCACCCTTTATAAATGAAATTTTCTCATGGACGTGGAAAGCAATGGACCTTTTTGGACACTCACAAATAGATTCTCCCTCCCCGTCCCCCCACTCCCCCGGAAATAACAATTGTAAACAACGTCCAAAGGCAGAGCCGAAAAACATCCGAGCTTTGCGAGTCTTTTCCCCTCTTTTATTTTGTCTTTTATCAGACAGAAGAACCAGTCCGGTAAAATAGGTGCAGCAGAGCCAGCGCTTGATACCATTCGCTCAAGGAGCCCGGGAGCAGAGAGCGCTGAAGAGGTCGGGGGAGGGGTAGCACGGCAGATGAGCACTATTCACCAAAAACGGGGTCTTCTACATAGCCCAAGACCCCTCGTTCCTCGGCCAGGCACAGGCACCTGCTGGTCCGGGAACTCAGGCCAAGGTCCGGCCGAGGCTGCTGCTGTGATCGCGGCACCAGTTTGGTCTTGCAAAAGAACCAGCTCAGAAAATGCCATCGGCTGGCGCACAGGGCAATATATACACATGTATATTCAAACACCTATATTTTATATACTTAGCTGCGTGTGAGAGAAAAAGAACATTTAAGCCTCCGATTACCACTTCCACCCGTGACGGGGACATCCTCCCCGTTAGCAATGGGGGAGCAGGGAGGCAGGGGTAGGGACAGGCAGCCGGAGCGCTCCCCGCTCTCCCCCGGCTCCAGAGCCGCCCTCCCGACCGCCCGCTCTCGGAGGATGCTGCGGCAAAGGGTGGCTGTGAATTTCTCCGCGGCTCGGTCACAGGGCAGAGATTGCCTGCGACAGGTAAATAGGCTGCGGGTCGCGGTAATGCCAAGAGTATTTTCAGTTAATAGGGGAGGGAAAATGAGGTGTCTGGAGCGATATTGGAAAGTACAAGATCGATGATCCGTCCTCGTGTCCAATCAGCAGCCTTTAATTGACTGTATTTTCTAGGTAATTGAGCCGCTGTGCTCCTAAATTGAAGTGGAAGATATAACAATACATCTCAGTGGGAGGAATTACTCATTACTTCATAATGAAATTTTCCATTTGCTGCGTGGGGCCGATGCCATTAACGCCTTCGCCGCCGGTGCTGGTGTCCGCGGCCCCACGTGGGGCGCTGGCTCCGGACACGCGTGGGACATTGACGGCGGCGAGGGCGCACACAGGGCACCCAGCCGGCAGCAGGTCCTGCCTTTGGCCCCGAGCCACTGCCACCAGACGGGGTAGGGTTCCGTGGCCTCACCCCGGTCGGGAATGAGACCCTTCGAGGAATTGGGGTGAGGCCCCGGGGGAGCTGGCGATGGGCACCTGGCCCCTTGTCACCAGCGGGAGGGGAGTTGTCTTCGGGGCACCCCATGTGCTACATCGGGTTTGCTCCCTGGCCAGCCAAATTCAGCTCCTAAAGTCCGTCCCTCCCACCCCCTCCTTGTTAGCGTTTGATTGATTGCCTTATTAAAGCGTGTTCTTGTAAGTGTGACCGAGCTGATTGCACTGCATATGTTTGGGATAATGCTCATTTTAAACAACTGAATAATAATACTACTAATAAAAAAAGGACCAGAAGAGGAAGAAGATGAGCTCTAGAGAGCGGGTTAAGCCTAAACGATCCCGGGGAGCAGCGCTGTAACTCGCGCATTAAATTGCTCCTTTACTATCAAATCACTCAGCCCATCTTTGCTGTTTTATCTGTCACCTCCTGTACCATTAAGCGAAATAGCAACGAGATTGACGCTTTCTTTCCCGTCTCAGACTATATGTTTTTATTAAGGTTGTATGATTAATCTGGATCGGATCTGCTTTCCCAGCACTACGCTTTACTTCAGCGCCTAAATCATTGGCAAATCGTCTCTCCATACTCCACGCTTTCTGCTGGGTTGTTCGGTCATTTGCCGGCACCTGCAGAACAGCATGCGGCTCCTTTAGCTTTTTGGCTTGTCTATCTGAAAGATCCTTTTGTTTTCTATTATTCTCCTGCTCGCCTGGCTACTTTATTTTACTAGCGAGTTTAGCCCCTGAAAACACCCTCCACCATATGTCACCCCAAGGCTCGCTGTCCTGCCTCTTACAATAGTGTCACCCTGGGGTAAAGCCCACGTCAGGACGAGATGAAGTCCCTTTAACACGAACGGCTTCATTTAGGCACATCAGGTTCCTGGGTGGATGTAAAGGGGGAGAGAAACCAGTCCCACGAGCTTTCTGCTTCATCCTTCTACCCGGAGCCCTTTCTATGTTGCCTGCTTCATTCAGATCTTCTCGCTTCTCCTTTTGCAAGGCGGGAGCGTCCCGTCCTGACCCTGGAGAGCTGGTACTGCGGAAGGGATGCGGTTACGGTAGGTTCGAGAAGATCCCCGCCGGGACTGGTCCCTGTTTTAGGACTCTTTTCTTCTCTCTCTCTGAGGTAGGAGGAAGAAGAGGTGGCTGGTTCAAGATCTTCTAACAAGAAAACAAATAGATCACAACCTCTGGCCTCCGAATCACTGTTTGCTCCCCCCGCCCCACCCGCTTTATTTATTTATTTATTTATCAGTTAAAATGAATGTATCTACGACCGAGAATGTAGTGCAGATTTACACTTATATATACAAACCTCATTTTAAAGAATCTCCATCGGTGTATTGCATGCACATATACACACAAAGCAAACACATAAAGTGATTTTCCCTGCTGCCCTCTCTGCGAAGAAGTGCCTGGGACTTCAGAGACAGAAATTGCCACTTAAGAACATCACATGAAAGTATTAAGTAATTATTTAAAACAAGGCTGTTTAGAAAAATATTTGTGTTTATTGCAGCTGCTCGATTGGCCTCGTTAAATCTGGGGAGCATTTAAATTGTGTTACAGTCTCATTTAAATCCAGTTTCGTTCCAGCAGGCTGCAAAGCCTGAATAGAACCAATCACTCCATAATGATGATGAATGAGAAATTAATTCAGATACAAGCAAGACAATTTAGGCCTTCATCTGTTTAAATAGCCTTCCAAGATTATTCGCAATTGCAGGTCACAGATTTAATCAATTGTCCAATCTTGTGAAAGTCATATCCTTGCATCTTCATCGAGATTATTTATAGCGCAGTGAAGCCCAGTGAAAGGTATACGCTCTTAACAGGAACAATTACTTAAGGAGAAGCGTTTGCAAAAT